CCTCTTGGCGTTGACATTCGAAGACAGTGGTGTAACCGTGAATTGCATCAGAACATCAACAAGCCAATGCACACATCTAATTCATGAATAGCAAATTAAAGACAAGCCACTGTTGTCTGCGCTCCTTTAAAACAGGAATAGTAAAACTACGTGGACTCTCTGCTGAAGCACTCTTGTGGCTATCAGACCTCAATATTTTGCATTTAGCTCATGAACACATTGCCCATATGCAAGAATAGAACATCTTTGCATGGCGTTTTTATTGAGCTATGGGAGTAAACCAGAGAACCCAGAGGGAATCCATGCAGAACATGGGGAGCACAAACAAACTCCACACAGAAAGACACCCGAGTCAGGAATCGAACCCAGGCTCTTCTTTCTGTCAGCACAAATGTGTCCATTCTGCCACGCTGCCTAAGTTGTTATATTCAGTAGCTGGTGTTGCCCAATTTGCCATCATCAATGTCTTTATCTCTACATTCATATAAGTGCTCCAATAATTCTCCTCAGCTGTCTATTGGTGTAATTTGGGCTGTAATGTAGCTCAGTAGCACTTACTACTTGTTCTGTCTCATGCCACTGACAACTTTGGGCAACCCTAGGCCTCCACTTGTCATGGCGTTTTGCCATCAGTCGGAGCGCTATCCACCCTTTAACTTACACCTACAGCTGTACTCAGCAGAAGTGGCCAGGTAGCTTGCAATCGGGAGGTTTGCGAGGTCATGTCCTATTTGGGGGTTGACTCGGCCCATCATCCTCCCTCTGAAGTCTAGATTGAGTACTGCTTTGTGGAGGAGTCAACAGTAGTTGTGCTACGGATAATCTCGTCACGGCCATAGGAATTTGGAATGATGCCACTGGCTCAGAGTTCTAAACGAAACATTTGCATTGCTTCCATGCTCATTTGCGCAAGAAATCACTTTGACTTGGTGCAGGAGTAACTTTTTAACAATCCAAAAATGTACGTTTACATTTTTTTATTTAAATGTTTATCGCTACAAATCAGTGTAGTGCATCTATGCATTTCGGACTTGCGTAAGTACTTTGCATAAGCCATCGCCAATGGACTATGATAAAATTGTGCACTTAACAGAACTCTATTTCCACTTACTGTACATTATCGGTATGGAAGCCCAGCCAGGCCTTGTCAAATTTTGCTTGTCTCAAAAAAAGATTACAGCAACGGCAATGTTGACTGCCCGAGTTATTTTGTCGAACCTTGTCAGTGACGAGAAGGACTGGGGCAGTGTGCTTATTATTTTGAGTCGAATCGAGTCAAAGGATTTAAAAAAAAAACAGAGTTGTAGGCCTTTTTGGAATTATCCATTCAACATTTGTGACATTCACCTACAAATGCAATGTTTCCATCCTTTTGTGTTTCCTCGAATAAGACGCCTTTGTGCTGAACCAGAACTTGAACCCTTCCACCAAATCACTGAAGGGTCATGCTGTGCGGTGACATGTACGTCCTGTGCTCAGTTTGCTCGCTTGTGGGGATTTTTCTTATACATATACAAAGACAAAGATCCCCCGTATAGCCTTAATGGACTGTAGAGGCAATTGATGTTAGTGAGCACCTATAAAGGCCGGTACAGCACACGAGGGGGTGGGTGGCCAACACCACGCCCGGCCGCCTTTGTCTCCCTAGTGGCGATGTTTACACATCGCACCAGGTACACATTTGAGGCTGAGTCGACCTAGGGGCTATACACACACACACGTTCATTTGTATGCAGAGGAAATGTCCCAGAAGCCTACTGGTCGTAATTGCTCTTGCGTTGGCTCACAACGCCCATACAGCGAGCAGCTGCTGCCTCCTGGTGACAATTTAAAAAAATGCTTCACAAGGCCAATGGCCTGCCTGGGAACATGCCCGATTATGAAGTCACCGGTGCATTTCTTCTTCAGCCACTGTGGTGTGAAAAAAAAAAAACCCAGCTACCTGAGTTCGATTCCTGGTCACGACAGTGGCAAGTTATAATCTGAACCGGTGCAGGTGAAAACCACCAATTCACCACACCCACAGCAACAACTGTGGTGGAGTGCGGTCAAGAAATCCCCATGGCAATGCAGTGTGGGGGGGGAGGCTTTCGTCCAGCAGTGTGTTGAACATTTGCTGTCAATTAATATTGTTTTAATGCGGCATCGTATTGTTTGTCCTCTGTGTTATACGTGGCTGATCATGGGAGGGGGGGGGGGGGGAGAGTGCACAGCTACAAAGAGAGTGGCTAATAATTGTAAGATTGTGAGTTTGAAACCTGTAGGAGAGCTTGCCTCCAATCCCTTGATCCCTCCTGGGATGATAAAATGAGCACCACTTTTTTTTGGGCAAGTCAACAGTAGATTTTCTCTTCTCTTAATAGACTCCAGCCAAGGAAATGAAGGATGTGAATGCCTGGCTGAGGACTGCGAACAGGAAGAGATGAGTGTGCTGCCCATTGCCCAGCTGAGCAGCGGACTACTTTGTTTAATGTATTCTGTAGTGCACTTGGAAGAAGTCTGATGAATACTGAAGTGACTCTAACAACTGTTCAGAAAAGTTCTTCGGCACATATTTAAAATTTATTTTTTATGATAACAGTGGGATACATCAGTGAGGATAGGAAACACAAAAAAGTGTGGGATGCTCAATAATTAACACTCCCTTAAATCTACGACAGGGATCATTAACATATATTTAAAGTATCTCTTTCATGTGAGACTTGGAGTGTATATTAATTATCAATCATATTCGGTATTTACAAGGAGATTGGTCCATTAAAATGCAGTATATTATCTCTTTTTTCCTGCTAGGTGGCCAAGAGATGACAATACTGCATGGATTATTGAATGTGTCACCTCCCATATATGCATGTGTTTACAGTTTCTTCCCACATGTTAAATACTCCTAAATGGAATTGACCAAACATCTAAATTCAAGGATCTTCCTGAAATGAGTCTCAAGATTCACTGAGGCTTTCATAAATAAAAAAACGGGTATTGCAATTATTGTTATTACAACTATGCAAGATAGCAATATGAACACTAGCCCATTATTTATAGCTATATGAGAGTGATTTAAATGTTTTAGATCGTTTAGCTATGAGGAAAAATAAAAATGGTAAGCACAGAGATACATGTGTTTGTGGTGCACGCCTGTTATGTGATGCTTGAGAGGTGAGAGCGAGTGGATTGCAGAGATAATCACGTGTGAGATTTCCACCTACAGAATAATGAGATGTCCTATAGAAGACCTAAACAAGGCTATCTCAAGTAGGTCGTTCTGTGTGGAAGTTGGAGAGTTATGTGTGGGCTTTGTCCAGGCCCACCACAATTTATCACAACTTAAGATAATGTTTGAAGTCACCTTTTTTTTGTCAAACATTGTACTACACGTAGTAGTAGTACATCTTAAGCATGCAGTGATGTTCCGTGTGTTCGTTTATAATAACCCCTCGGTGTGTGCAATGTCACCACAATGTTTTTGTGATTCTAAGTGCATACGCGCTACCCATGCGCAGCGCTCTGCTTAATTTGTGCTCCTTAATTTCCGTCGGCGTTTTGGGACTTACTTTCATGCGGCGCGATAATAAAGTTAGAATCGACGATGAAGATGAAGCACCCCATTTGCCCGCCTACGGCTAAACATTCATTCTGAGCATTGCACGTTGTCTCGAGGCTGCACTAAGCTAGCCCCTTACAGTTTTCGTGGCCAACGGCCACTGATTGCCATCGACGAAGATCCGCATTGGGTTTTTCACATCGTGCATCCACATACGGTTGTCACGCTGCCACTCGTCAATGTCGGACCACCCACTGGCTTGCAACGCGTGCATTGCTCATCCTCCACCGCAAGGGGGGTCCTGGCCTCATCCTCCTGCGGGCGAATCGAGGGAGTCCGTACAGGGCGATCCATTTACAGATACCACGCTAATTTCACGTGTGACCCCCCGCCCCCCGCCCCCCACCCCCGCCCCCCCCCCCCCGGTCTAGCGTTTGTATGTGATTGGTTACAAGAGACATTTGTGTGTTGGGATAGTGCCGAGGCGGAACAAATTGCGTGGAGCCATTGCTCACCTGACATAAGCCCTGTGGGGTTCTCTTTTGTGAGTCACACTGGAGACCGCGTGCGCGTGCACGCGCGACCGAGAAAACCATGACACATCAAAGGGCTCGGCTTACGGATCATTGGATGTTGCAAGCAAATCACAATGCCTATGTTGGCCTCAGTGTATGAAGAGTGTTTTTTTTTAATGTTATTGAGGCTTTTCATGAGTAGCAGCAGTGTTCAGAGATTGTATAAGTATATTATTAGTGGGAGACACTTAAAAGTTGAGTTTTGAATGTGAAGCTAGTGCAACGTTGCAATTGTGCTTGCTCATGCCACCAGGACCTCTAGAGAGATCTCTCGTGTATTTTGGCCTACTCTTTTAGGACGGCCAGAAGTCTTGGAAGAGGTATGGGTGCCACATGCCACCTCACGTGCTCTTCCATTTGAATAATTATGCGGTACCCATTTACACTGCTGGGTGGACAAAGAATTGAAGAAACGTACTCACTGTTTCAACTGCTGCACCTGGAAATCGAATTTGCGACCGCCGCATTGCAAGTCCAGGGTGCTAACCATCACACCACGGCAGTATCAAGAGAGTATGGCCATATTATTATCACGTGATAATTGCCGTAAGCAAGGAGCATACACCTTCACGCAAACACCGGTCATCATCGCGGCGGACTTTGGCTAGCCATCAAACGAAGACGGTCGCTGCATCGCGCTCTTGTGTCCGAGATTAAGAAGCCACTGGAGCTACGAACTTTTAAATACAGATTGACGATGTATTTCTTTAGAACTGCTTTTTGTTTTTAGTTTGGTGTCCTTCCCACCGGATACCTCCGATGAGCACGGTTGGCTAAGTACGGTGCGAAAGGAGTTCAACAAACACACATACGTAAGCAGGCAAGGCCCTATCTAACAAGGAGCCGTCCGTCCGTCGCTCGGTCGGTCGGTCGTTCAGGCGCACCTTGTTCTTCTCGTAGAGCTGGGCCTGCACTGAGCGCAGGTCCGCGTCGCTGGCGCTCGCTGTCTGCTTCCTGCGCTTGGACAGCTGCTCCTCGAGATCATCCAATTGCAGGCGCAGCTTCTTGTTGTCGCGCTCGAGCGCCAGCTTCTCCGTGTCGAGGCGCTCGCGTTTGCCCCACTCGGCCGCGTTCTCCGCCTGCAGCCGCTCCAGCTTTTGGTCCCCCCCAAGGTGTCGGGCAGGAGGGTTATGGGTCAGGGGGTTAGGGATTAAGGGTTAAAGTTCAGAGGTGGGGGGGGTGCAAGTGTGTTTTTATTTAACCAATTTTTTTTTACCAGATTGTATCATGCAATTCAGTATTGATTCGGAATGCTTGCAAAGCAGTAGCATCCCTTCGTATCAGAGAATGGCCTACGGAAGTGGATACTGCAGAGTTACTTCTGAGTTAAACAAAGAGCTTTCATATAGCATTTAAATTCGGCAGATATCTCAAGACGCTGAACAAAAACGTTCTAATAAATCTTTCATTTGAGAAAAAAAATAATTAGGAAAATTTTGTTTAAGCTATGGGGGAAAATGTTACCATTCCTATGTAGACTCATTAGGTGCCATCCCACGACTCACCTCAGCCCTCATATCTGAGAGTTTCTTGTCCATGGAGGAGTGGGCGCTAACCTGATCCTCAAGGTCCTCCGTCATCCTACCCATCTCCGCCTCGTGGGCCTCTCTCAGCAGTGCCAGCTGATCGCCGTGAAAACACAGCGTCGGGGCCAGGAGAAGGGATGGGAAGCAAAAATTGAAGGTTTCTCGGCTCCAAAACCGTTCCTCCCACACCGCTGTGAGATCGGCGCTTCATGTTAGCCGGAACAGCGCGTTCCGAGAATGATTTTGACATGCCACATCCGTCCAACCTCGCCTTATTTTGTCCTCATTGCACCCGATATTTCGATGAATCTGTTCACAGGATTATAGGAATTTCGAGTACAATAATATATGGTTATTATGTACAGCCTTACCCTTGTGCTTGAGTGGTAGTGCCTTGAGGCGATAATACCTACAATACGGCGTCTTTGTGGAAAATTCCGAGGGCAGAAATTAAGCCCTGGCAGTGATCATCACCTTTTAGAATTATGCCGTTGAGATCGTAAATCGGTCCCGACCAGACAACGGTAATCGCAAAAATAAACCCAGTGTACGGCATTAAAACGCCATGCAATGCAGTCACGTGTTGATAACTGCCGTTAATGTGAGGCACACTGAATTTGCTCTTCAGATGGAGGAATAGCGGTGATTTATGGCAGCGGAGATAAAAAAAAAGTTTACAGACTGCGACGTGATAATTTGCATGAATCTTTGCTTTGGGAGCTTAGTTTGAAACCAATTGTTGTGCTAGGAACCTGGCCAGCTGAGGTAAATTCCCGGTCATTGCTAACATCAGTTACGAGTGATATCTGAACCAATCTGTTCGTTGACATGAGCGACCCACACTAACTAGAGTGGTGAAGTATGGTCAATTTGTCCCCATGGCGAATATGGTGTGGGGAGGACTTCATTCATCAGTGAAGTTATGATTAAGTGCTATAGCTGTTAGTGCTTGTATCAGGATGTACACTTGTTTAACTGCATCATTTGCTGTTACCTATTATTCAACATGTACAGTATTTACATTTTAAAATATTTAGACATATTTAAATATTTACAATAGATTTTGTTTCGGGGAACTTTTTAATACCTTAATACATTTTTAAACCTGTTAATATACATTAGGCCATTCGCTATGAATAAATTTAACTTTTGATTTCGAGACTGACAATATACATTCATGGACTCGTGCAGCTAACAATAGATTATTTACAAATCATAATTGGATTTTGGGTCAGATTGCTCGAGTAAAATGGGTGTCGTACACCCTCCTCCACCAGACACAGCTATTCATGAATAAAGCGGTCACGTGAACAAACGTGCCCATTTATTTCTGCTTCAGCACCGCCGGTGTGCTGGACAGCAATCCACACACATTTGACAATTGTCTACGACGTTTCATTGGGGGTTACAACCAGCATCATCAGGCAGTTGCTACAATGCTTGCGACTGCCTGATGATGCTCTTTATCACACCGATATACTGAAGCAGTAATATATTGCCACTTTGGTTCACATGACAGCTTCATCAATTGGCTGTGTCGGATGGACGCGATCTGACCAAAAAAATATCTATATATGCTTGGTCGCAAAAGTCCTACTACGTGTTAAATAGGTTATTTACAATTCACACAAATGTATGTGCTGCGATATTTAGGTTCACAAACTGAACTTAAAAACAAGGCAAATTATTATTTTAATGAATATTGATGGGGATTAATAGTTGCACGCCTATTATATTAAACAGTTGATCAATGCTTATTTTCCGTGCCCTGCACTTCATCGTGTCCAATTTCTGACTGGCAAGGTAAATTCATGACTTACAAGCTGCCCAATGTGTTTTCGGACTACCACCGGGTTGTTCGGCAGGATGTCCGACGACGTTTCGCTCTATGCATTGGGAGCTCCTTCAGGAACTGAAATCACGTGCCGAGAGCTTATTCAGCACATGGAGCAAAACGTCAGACATCTTGCCCAACAACACGCGATGCAACCCAGACGCACACAGGAAGCTATTTGACGCAACCTGTAAAACCTAAACAGTCGTACTGACTCAAAAGTTTAAGTGCTCATGATGGCTTTTCAAGCCACCGTTAATATTATACATTGGCAGGCGGGTATTTAGAATGTATGATATACGCACGCGGTATACAGTTGAACTAGGGGACACTCAAAGGTTTAATATTCAAGGCGTGCAAATAATGCAGATAACCACATGCATTCATAATGCGGGCCGTATTAGTGTTTAAATTATGATGGTATGGAAAAATGGCAATTGGTCCATTTTATTCGTGTCTGAATTTATGACTGGTAATATAACAAGGGCAGAAGAGCAACAAAACACAGCCTGGGAGTTTTTCATGAAACTGGTGATTTGATTGTGTTTTGTTTATAATTAAAATTTAAGCACCCTACCCCATAAAGTACACGTGGAATGAATTGTGCATAAAACCTTTTCGGGGTCAAAAAAGTTACAACTGATTACTTCTGCTATTGTTATCTACTTGAATAACCTTTTAGAAAAATGTGTTTTTTTTCCTCTAGGTACATATTAAGGTGAAGGCGATTGTTCTCTTGCAACAAACCTCTCCAGTCGGTGAGATCAGGTTGAAAGAGGTGGCACGAGGTTGTCACGTGATCGATCGATGGCATGAGGTTGTCACATGATCAATTGCTGTCTCATCAAAACGATGATGACCACTGGGCGAGTCCATAGTAATATAAATGTAAGCTTAATGGGTTTGCATGCGGCTCATGAGACTAACCCTAGCTGTATAATGTTTTCCGCACTTTGGACAGATACACATTGGAGTGTTGCGTAGCATTATTACCGCACGCACGGGCAGTGGTCAAAAATACTCGTATGAAACCTATTGGTCCAGCAGTCCGTGGTAAATGACGTTTACCCTCTGCGGAAGCATCATGGTGTGGGAAGAGCAATGGCGGAGCCAGGATTTTCAGGTAGGGGGGGCAACCCCTCCAGCAATGAAAATTGAGAGAGGAGTTGTTAGTAAGTAAGGACTTGCCCCTTGCTTTTTATTTGATGCGTGTGCGGCGATGGCACAGCCATCGATTGAGGGTCGAATTTGAACCGTATTGTGTGATCGGCATCGCGCTCAGGGAAGTCGTGTCCTGTATACGCAACTGCGCACAATTTTGAGTCACTTATAACTGCTTTGCAGTTACTTATTGCCAATTATGGACTCAGACTATTGTCCTATCATCTCATAGAGTCCATGGCACGTAATAATATGCTACACAGTGGCAGTGGGGGTCGCAACGTGCCGATTTATTACTAATAAACCCCAATGATCCGATCGAAATTAGGGATTTCGATCGTATCATTGGGGGGGGGGGGGGGCACGTGCCACCCACCCCCTACTGGCTCCGCCAGTGGAGAAGAGAAACATTGGCATGCACGTTTGGTGCTCTGAAAAGTGTCGGTATGACACACAAAGTGTAAAAGCCGGCTGATTTCGACCGCTGCATATGAGTAACACCTGCACGTCATAATCTGCCAACAGTGAAGAAATTTGCTAATTTGCTGACCCACCGTGATACGAATGTTGTGATGCTCAATTGAACCAAAGTGGGTGCGAGGCATAAAGATTCAAAGCAACATTTGCAACCAACCACAATAGAGGTTTTTTTGGGTTAGATCGCGTAAATATATAAATGTGTCGTTAAACCCACCAACACCCAACACAGCCAACTAGTAAGGTGTGTCACGTGAACATGACATGCCAATTCGTTACTAGTACAGCACACCGGTGTGTTAGAGAGCCAAGCCACAACATTTACAACATTTACAAGTGTGGCTTGGCTCTCCAACACACCGGTGTGCTGTACTAGTACGGAATTGACACGTTCTGTTAACGTGATAAACCTTACCAATTGGCTGTGTCGGGTGGTGGCGGGTTTAACGACACACATATTTACCCAATCTAACCCAAAAGAAACCTGTATTATGGATGATATTGGTCGCGAAAGCGGACGTGTTAATTTGCAACCAAGTTGGACATCTGGACCTTACCTGCTTGAGAGCCTCCTGCTTGGACTTGTTGAGCTCCTCGTTTTTGAGGCTCCACTGCAACACCTCGGCCTCCAACTTTTCTATCGTCTTCGTGAGCTCAGACTTGTCTCTGCAAGGCGGCACAGAGGAGAGACCAATCCCTCTTATTGGTAGCGCATTAAACGTCTCTGGCATAAAGCCATCGGCTGCGCTCTCAAGTGTACGATTGATGCAGATGGAAAGCGTATCTATGTCACGGTGTCTTTAAGACTATTTTAGATTACGATTATCTAAGGAAAGCTTCCGTGAGTCTCAAGAAGGTACTTTACAGGCAGATAACACTTGGAATATTTGGAGTATTACATTCATTTTGGAATGCTTGCAGAAGGCAGGAAACCTGACTGCAGGGATAAATAAAACAAGCTGAACGCGCCCGCAAGGCCACGGGTAAAGGCGGAGCCCTGTAAATGCTTGCTCTCACCACTGGTGGTGGAAGGGCCTCCACTTGAAGGAGCTCTGGAGAACGCCTCCACGCTGGCCAAGACATCTCCAAAGAGGTTGGAGTAATCACACTTTACCATTACCCATTTATTACTGTCGGGTGGACATGGGGGGGGAGGGGGGGTGGGAATGTAATCAACTTGCCCAGTGTTTTAACCGCCGCACCGGGAGATCAAACTGCGACCTCTTGCATTGTCCGGCGAGCGAACCATGACATAAACTGCAGTGTCCCAGCCTGCTGTGCCTACACGTAAATGAACGTGGCAGCGCTGTAGCGGGTGTCACACGCGTCGACGGTTGTGTCCTCTGGGTGATCAACCCACCCCCCACATTGCTTAGTGTCTGGCTCAGAGGCGCCGTGTCACCACAACATACAGCAGTGGTTGCTTGGCCAACTGAAGACGTACTTAAAATTTGTCTTAAATGCCACGTTCCAAAAATCAATACTTCATTTGCGAACTCATCTTCACGTCTGATATCTGTTTCTCAAGGATGGAAAATATACTGTAGCATGTACGTCGCAGTATATAATCTATACCATGGCAGTTTATTCTCGATAAGCAATTAGATGTCTTATTTGGAAAGTATGAACGTAATTGTTTCTGAAATATGCTTTGAATATCTTCATATTGTAGAGTTTCTCATTGTTATGCAGTATTTTTAGATCTTACTCTTGCCAGAATCTGTATGAAGAAAATGTAATTTATGCATCATCACTTTTCATTCCACATGTATTGTTTTTCCCTTGTACTTTATGATGGGTTTGGTATTTAACTTTTTCCGTTATTTTTTCTGTTCTAGTTTCTCAACCTATATCTCCCTTGAAAATACACCTTTAGTCTCAGAGGGATTTCACACGACGATTCTCTGATACGATGCAATTAACACGTTGCTGCACGGTCATGAGTCTTGCCAAGAGTAGTTGTCATATCACCGTACGCGGTGGTCCCGATGTCTTGTAACCCCCATTTAATTATCATAAAAAGTAATATTTTTCAAGTGAAATTGATTTAAAACATAAATGAATATGCCAAGGGGGAAAAAAAACATGTATGAGGGTCAATTGATCTGGGGTTACGAGATATCTCGACCACTCTGTCCATTAAATATGGCGACATCTCGTGGTACGACATGGATCAGATGAATCCACGCGATCCTCCGTTCTGCATATGAGTAAATTTTACGTAAAAAAACACTGATCAATTATTACACACGATTGTGACCTTGCAGCTGTGGATGTTGACCCGTTGATTAATTTGTAAAATGTTACGGAGGGTGAGTCCCTATTTGCAACATGACTCTCCGCTAAAAATTTACTTTACAGTCCTGTCATCTCTACGAAAGTGACCCCCATGTTACAGACAGACAGACGCGTGGACAGGGAGGCAGACAGAGCTAATGCCTCAATGCTTTCCACCGTAGTGGTAAATGTGGGGAGGGGGGGGGTGGGTTACATGAACACAGCGCTAATGCATTTGCCCTTGCGTTTTTGGGGATTGTTTTTGTCCCCGACGCTCACTCGCGCTCCTTGAGCAGCGTCTTGAGGGACTCGTCGAGGCGCAGCCGCAACACCGTGGCCCTGGCCAGCTCCTCCTCCACGGCCGAGGCCACCGCCGCCTCCTGGAGGCGCCCCGCCGGCCCGGCGCCCCGCCGGTAGTTCCCCGCGTCACGCCGCTTCTCCCACGGCTCCTCGACCAGCGTCGTGTCCTGCTCGCAATTTTGGAAGATGTCCGGCGTCACTGGGCCGAGGTGGCCCCGGGCAATGGTCGCGCGGTGCCTCTGTGGCTTTTTGGTGACTTTGTGGAAGTTGGGGCGCCGTGGCGGTCCTGGGACTCCCCTCTAGGTCGACTCAGCCTCAAACGGGTACCTGGTGCAGTGTGCGAGCGTCGCCACTAGGGAGACGTGCCGGCCTTCACGGGTGCTACTCGCTAATAGAACTTGCCCCAACAGTCTGTTGAAGGCTATACGGGGGATCTTTGGCTTTGTGTGGAGTGGTAGTGAAGTAATCAGCGCACTGCCACCTCGGTGACCTAAGTTCACTTGGCAGTCAAGGCGAACATCAGTATCGGGTCATATATGGATTGGCCCCGGACATCTCCGACGTTGACTCAGCCACAAATGAGTAGTACTCGGTGTTACACTGAAACATCAGCACTGGGGGAAAAAAAAGCAGCTGGGTGTGGTGCTGGACAAACAGCCTCCTCGTGCACATGTCCCAGCCGTCGTTGGTGCTCACAAATAGAACTTTCCCCAAAGTCTATGTAGGCTATATGGCTATTAGAATTTGGTGTCTGTATGTGTGGTGTGTGCTTGCGTGGTGGGAAGTAGTGGTGCAATGGTTGGTGGCGCACTGCACTGCAAACAAAAACACACCTTTTGATTCCAAACTATATATACAATCATTGGTAAGCTATATCTGTGCCTATCATAAACATCCGTGGAGTTGACAAATAATTACTTTGCGGAGTGCATAACCATCAACCCTTGGTCACACAATTGTGGCTGTGCGTGGTTCTGCCCATAGCACCCCTTTGTGTGTGGTGGCAGACTTCATAGGTGCTCGCTCGCAAACAGCAGTAGGCTCCAGCGGTCTACAAAGGCTAAACGGGGATCTGTGGCGCTGCTCTGGGTTGGGGCTGTCCCTGGGCTGGGCTGGACTGGGCTATTGGCAGGTGTTGTGGTTGAAAGTCAAAAAAAGTTATGTTCTTTAATTGGCGCTGGTGGCATATTGGCAGTTATAAAAAAAAGACGAAAAACAGCCGCCGTACAGGTGCCATGCTCCGATAGAGGCATTGTCAAACAGATGTTTGCCTCGGCTTATAATTGGTGACTTTTCTCTACGCTTGTCGAAGGCGTGAATATAAACGCGTCGCTGCGTGGAGGGATGACGGCCAAGAGTCAACGATGGCGACTGGAGTGGCAGCCAAGAAACGGAACGTGTGCCGGCTGGAGCACATCGACTGATAAGATGGAGTGATGAAAAGAAAAAGAAGCTCGTGCACAGAGGCCCATTGGGTATTGACAAGGCGGAACTGTGAGAGATTGTGACGGTTACGGGGAGTATTCACGACTGCTGAAGATGATGAGATGAGAAACTCTGATGGGCAAAAAAAATTAAGGAGATAAACTTGGCTACTGGACATTTTCTAAGAAATGGAACTATATTGGTAATGGAAGAGCAACAACTAATTGCAGAACATTCAGTAGTTGAAGGCTATCCTCACGTAGAGGTATCGCAAATGCCTTGTTTGGATCAAAGTACTGTGAAAGTGGGAGTTGGGTGGATTGAAGCTGCCAAGGAGTGGATGAGAATGGCTCCAAAGTGACGCGTTGCCTTCGGAATTGGGCAGAGAATAGTTGGAGTTTTCTGTGTTCGTGATATACACGAGATGATAACGCTCACATTCAACGAGCACGTTCGAATTCTGGCCAAGGATAACTCGGCCCATAATCATTGAGCAATAAAATAAGAAGTCGTTGGGAACTGTCCGACTGGTGACTGGCGCCTGCCAGTGTCTCAGGACTCCCATTGGAGAAGAACCTCCCAATGCTCATTTCACTAAAGGGGGCAACGCTTTGCCTTGACGTTAATTTTGTGATAAACACGTTTAAATGCCTCACTTTCCGCTCGGTGAAAGACGCGCGTCTTCATCGCCTGCGATAACGATGCCTATAGTTTGGTCGATGGCCACTTGCCTTGTTGCTGGGTAGCGCCACCGAGCGTTTGCCTGGTTGCGTGTCTCGAACGGGCTCCTGCTCAGGGCTGCTCATCCTCTCCACCTCCTTGCCAGCTCGGTTAACGCCTGTCATCGCTGCATCTGCTGGCTCTCCCTCAGCATCACCCCCCTCACGATCATCATCATCATCGTCGTCGTCGCCGTGATTCTCCTCTTCCTCCTGCCGCTCCCCTTCTTCGTCATCCTCATCGTCTACGTCTTTCCCGTCCCCCTCGCCCTCCTCGCCCCGTCGTTCCGTCTCGGCTCGCGGCCCGCCGGCCTCGCGGAGGATCCGGGCGTTGTCGGCGCTCATCCCGCGCCTCTCGCGCCGCGCCTCCGCCAGCTCGGCCGTCGCCCCCTCGAGCCGCTCGCGCAGCGAGCTCGCCTCCTCGCGCGCTCGGTTGCGCTCGGCGCGCACCTTGGCCCACTTCTCGCGCCAGCTCGCCGTGCAGTCTGACCACCAGCGCATGGTCTTCTCCAGCTGCAGCGCCCTCGTGCGAGCCTCCTCCAGCTCGCGCAGCCGCAGCTCCTCGTGGCCGCACCCCAAGGCCCAGTCGCCGTCCTCCATCACCGTCAGCTCCTTTATACGGGGGGGGGGGGGGGGGGGTGGGGCGAGGGAGAGACAAACATCATCAGGGGGGGGGGGTCACCGTTCTTTCTTGTGATTCTCTAGACCCTTTTCTGTCGACTATTCAGATTGTATCGTCTTTGTGCGCTTACTTGTCACGTTTATTGGCCACCATCGTCATTATTGTAGTCGTCAAGTCATCGTCATTTGTAATAACCAGCCATGATTTATCCAGTAGAGGATTAAGCGCTCCCCAGGCCATCGTCCTCCCTCACGGCACGACAGAGTCCATCTAGCCGCTTTCGTCTCTCTCCAGTGGACGTATTCTCAGGTGCAAACTTGTCAACCCCTTATCAGTGCCCTACCTCATTACAGACCAATTCAGACCTTGTTGGTCACAACAGGAGTAGGGGTAGTGATAGGTGTAGGGGTAGTGATAGGTGTAGGGGTAGTGATAGGTGTAGGGGTAGTGATAGGTGTAGGGGTAGTGATAGGTGTAGGGGTAGTGACAGGTGTAGGGGTAGTGACAGGTGTAGGGGTAATGACAGGTGTCGGGGTAGTGATAGGTGTAGGGGTAGTGATAGGTGTAGGGGCAGTGACTTTACGGAAAGACCCAAAGAGTATGAATTCCTGCAGTCACGAAAGCTTTAAGTCAAAACCTTACTAATTGGCTGTGTCGGGTGGTCGCAGGTTTAACGACACATTTATATACTTACGTGATCTGACCCAAAACAACAAAAAACCTCTATTAAGGATGATATTGTTCGCCAATGCCTACCACGTGTTAAACTGAAGGACAGAGATTGGGAGCGTTGCCATGTACTAAAACGTGGCTTTAGTCGTAATGAGGCAGCAGAGTTGCCAGTAATTATTATAAGCATTATTTTGTACGCTCATAGCCGTACATGTTATGCAATGTTTGTGAAAATACACATTGTGGTTTGAGAACTGCACATTGAAGCTGGTCACACGAGCTTGATTTCTGGCCCAGGCTGACATCAGTGGCGAGTGATATCTGAACCAGTCTTGGGTATCTCATATCTACCAAACCACACTGACCAGTGTGGTGAATTGTGATAATTGTTATGATTATTATGAAATAAATAAATGTTTTAGTAATTTATTTTAGTGTGCATCATTTACTTTGCTACTGAAATAACTTGTTGGCTTAAGGGTAATAACTAAACGATTTAATATACTTTACATTTAAAATACATTTGTAACCTCTTGTAGTCGTTGCACATGAGTGTATATAGGTCCCTGGCTACACTGGTAATGTTACAAGCAACACTTGGTGTCACGCAGCTGATCTTGGTGAGGCATTATTCTGCCATCCCTTAAAGCCCTTACCTTCCCCGCGACCAAAAAGAGTGTGAGAAAGCCTTCAGGCTGACGTGGATTGACAAAATGATTGCAAATTATATTTATGGTGATTATTGCAAAAGCTTACTTTTAGATGAAAAAAATCCAGAGACCAATTTTTTTTATTTAGGCCCCAAAAAATTATGGCCCACAGTCTGGTTGTTTGGTTGGTTTCACTCAGTGGGCAGAGCTCGCCTAAAATTATAAATTACCATTGGAAAACACATTTAAAAAAACAAACAGTGGAGCCTCCATAAAACTAATTATTTGTTGATTATGCGTTGGCAGTGGTGCACAATTACAAATAAAAAAAACTCAACACATTCATAATTAACACTGCTTAAAAGTTAAAGTATACACACTGAATATGTGCTTCATAGCACATATGCTCTGAAAATTTACCACTATCCGAAACGTCACCTGTTTATCAAAGAAGAAACAAATATATGTAAAAAGCACAATGCCATGTGTGCACGTGCACAAATCATGGGCATGTCCCGAGGAAGTGTTTGCTGCACTATTACTTTGTTTTGATGGGTTTGTTTTTGAAATCGTCATCTACACATTTGACGTCACCATTAATATAATTTTCATGTTATTGACAAACGTGTTGTATTTTTTTGCTGTTGTTATTCATCCAAAGGCTTTGGTGGATCAAACCTCCCTCAAGTGATTTGCAACCAGGGACTTAAACGAGAAAAAAAAAACCAAACCCCTCTCCACATCCGATCCCCCAACATCAGTGATGAGCATGTCTGGGACAAGACGATGTGGTGGGGTGGTGGTGGGGTGGTGGTGGGGTGGGGTGGAAAAAAATCAACCCAGCAGTGCGATACCGTGAGCACGATGTCGCGCTGCTGGCACGCGGCAGGCCGAGTGCTGGGACAGATGGCGATCCGCGTCGGCTGCATGGCGTGCTGTTGCTCTCCTCCTCCGCACGTGCGGCCGTGTCCACGCGGGCGATCGGCGCCCTCGTGTGCCGTCTGCGCCTTCGGAGATGGAATCCGGTTCATTATTATTATTCAGGATATTTTTTTCGCCTGCGAATTTTGCTGTTGTTGTTGTTGTTGCCGAAATCTTAACAGCTTGCGCTCCGTCGCGTTGCGGTTTGTTTTATTCCCCACACTCACACCTACTCACTCCCCCCCTTGTTCAGGAGGCCTCTGCTAAATCCCCGTGGAAAGTTTGATGAGTTGACATCTCGGCTGATGGCCCCTGCAAAGTTTCTCCGCTGGAAAGCATCTGAAAATGAAAAACATTAATAATTGAAGCAACCTTTAGCTCCCCCATTGTGATTGCAAAACATGTTACACGGTCTTACAGCTCTGTTATTTTTGACTATACGTGAACATGAATCAATTTGCCCGTGTTAAAAACCTCTATATTCGGTAGATTATAGCTCATTCCACTTTTACTATTGGGTTTTATCTTTGAAAAATAGTAAAACTTGTTTCATTAATGAATTGATAATTAAGCAAAATGTATGCCTTTGTATGTAATGCAAGATACCAGTATTTTGCCTACAGAGTGTATGAATATACTGCAGCACCATTCCATTGTCTTAATTGGTACAATTACTGTTATTCTGGACTTCTCCAGGTGATGCCTCTTACTCGAGAACAATGCAATTAGAGGCCCAGTACAGGAGATGTTTTTTTTTTCGTGTGGCTCAGGTATACAGGCAAAGCCTCATTAATAATCAATCGCAAATTGTGTGCCGTTACATTCCAAGACTTCTATTCCAAGGCATTAAATAAGTAAATGACTCTGCATGACGCTTTTCCCGGTTCAGCAGAGGAATAACGATAGGTGGGGTGAGTTGCTCGCTTCATCATCTTAACCTGAATCTTTAAAACGTGTTTCAAAAGGGATCCCTCCGGGCTGGCAATCTTCTCACTGCCCCCGTAGCTCAGTAAATCTCAGCCTTGATACCGAACCAAATGCCAATGCCACATCTGTGAGCTCTGGGCTCTGCTGTTTTCCAATGGGAAGCAGTTGCAATCATTTCCTGCCTGAGCCTCATTTGAACTATTCGGGTTCAAACCCCAGAGAGCCCCAGTGAAGGGACTAAGCCTCCGGGGGCTGCCACAAAGCGACACGACAATGCACAACACAGATAGGTGCGGTCGGTTGACATCGGTATTTTATTTTTGAACGTGCCCTTCTCTTGAAATAAATCAAATGAAACGCATTCACACTCACCATTCATTGTACGCGACCGACATAGTCACTCGCAACGTTGTATTGAATCTAAGGGCGTGCATAATGTGGCTATTGAAACGTATACACTGGGTGTAGTTGGCATACACGCTGTCTCGTACTTATCGCTGTGCAAACTCGGCGACGTTTTATTCGCCTTGGGGGAAAATGTGGAAGGCCCAAGCAATTAGCCGCACGGTGATTTTTTTGTCAATTTGTAAGAAACGAAGACTCCTAATGGGATAACAGTCACGGTTTGGCTTTTTATTTTTTTGGCATCTGGAATCTCGAATAACAGGCAGTGTGCTCGCTCCGTGCTTCGCGGAGATCTCTTTGCTTCAGAGCTCTGCAGGACATGGATGACTGCCCGCAACCACAATTTGCAACAAAGACGGGCATTGTGTGGCATGGTGAGGAATTTAATAATGCACACATCCAAAAAAAAGCGGCAGATAGGACTTAAATAACAAGAAAAACTTGTATCTCACCAACTTGCAACAATTAGGGTCCCTCATTTAATTCTCTAATATTTAGGGTTATTTTCGTGACTTTGTTTCGACATGCTATGCCAATGTAATAAACAGCTTACGTACAATCTTGATTTTAAGCTTTCATGACTGCAGGAATCCATACTCTTTGGTTCTTTCGGTAAAGTCACGTAGGTAGAAAATAAAATAAATCACGACGTTTCGATCGCAACACAAGCGGTCGTCCTCAGGCGGAAGATATAAAATCCAGCAGTGGAACTGCTGGATTTTGATCGTCGTGCTCAAAATCCAGCAGTGGAACTGCTGGATTTTATATTTTATAATTTTTTTCCGGATGAGGACGACTGCTTGTGTTGCGATCGAAACGTCGTAGGCTTACGTACAATGATGAGGTTGCCTTTACGGAGTTACAGCGCTGTTGCATTAAATGCCAGCATTGTAGGATTGCAAGAACATGAATTTGCCTATGATCATTTGGTTTGTTTTTGTATCACACCCTCTCCTGAACTCCCTTTAAACTTCAACATGTACCTCTGTAGAATACATTGACTGACAAGCTGGGAACTAAAGGTATAGGCTGACAAGTGAAAACGTCAATGTAAACATCGAAGTCAAATTGCTTGCATCATGCTCAAATAGGTTACCGGACAAAAATAGATTTCAAACTACTTTCAACACAGGAAAATGCTTTTCTGTACTTTAGAAGGGAATATGTAGCAGGATTAATAAGATTGCTAAATGTGACAAGGTCAGATTTGTGAACCTCTATAGAAAATCAAAGTCACTCCATGCAGTAATTCTGCCACTACATGTGAGCGGTTAATCGCCATGGTGGTTATGTAACGGTTGGATATTCGCTGGTGCCTCCTGTATTTCTAATTGTTAAAAAAACGCATTTGCACATTCGAACATATGTATTTATCGATGCTCTCTGGATCTGAGTGCTTGTGATATTTGTTAGCATAGTGCTTAATTTGATCGTCGTGCTCAATTCACTGCAAGGTGACCAGTTCTTGATGCCGACATGACCAGTTTTAGTGGTTATCTGAAAATTCAATTTAGTTTTCATATGGTGCATGTCTCTCCTTATGCTGAAACTGACATTTGACATTGCCTTTGTATGTACTTTATTATTCTGACTGCTAGTCCATATGATATTTAACTAATTGTTTGGTGATGCTGCATATGAAGTGGTGTCAACAACACTGCCTTGAAATAAGAAAATATATAATTGGTGACATTTTGGGCAATATCTATTCTTCATAGCACATAAACCAATATGAGATTGATCATAGGTTGCATTCTCATTTAATTGCCATCTGCTCCATATTATATACTTTTTTCTGAGCATCCACCCAACATTACATTACTATATATTGTACACCTATGTATGGCATATTTTCTAGAAAAAAGAGATTTTTTTTTCAAAATTACCACGAAGTTTGGCAAGTAACTTAAATTGTAGGAGCATCATAGTATGCAGAGAATATAGAAATGATTTGTGTACACACGACAGGGCAAGCTTTTACAAAACAGGTCCCTGCAGGGTGGGCTGGTAGGAACATTGGAATTTTTCACTTCGTTTAAGTATTGGAAGGGGACGGACGGACGGACACATTAATCTATTGCAGGCTGGTACACTCAGTTTACAACTTCGTTCCTACCAGTATTAGCTGTACTAACAATTCACCTGCAGAATGTATGGACTCTCATCATCTATGTTGCAACGTGTGTTTTTGCTGCTGGTAATCCCACTGCTTTTGTCATTCCATGAACATGTTCATACATATTTAACGAGTGGTACTATTTGTACTGACACTCTGTTCTCATGGACGTACAATAACCGAGGAGCATATGTTACCATTGGTACATTTTTCATGGCGCTAACCTGGACTCGATTTCAGAGATGCTGTTTTGCGTGCATACATCACAAGACACCTGTAAAACCTACCTGCCACATTAATACACGAGTAACGCTTGTTGATACCATTATCTGTTTGGACTCGAGTAAGTGCATTCATTTGCTATGTTACTGTCTAGGGTTTAGAGGTTGTGCTGTATAGCTCTGTGTTTTCAGGTTGTACTGCGTGCTGTACAGCATGATGTCTGACGTTTAAAATTACGTGCCGGGAGCTTCTGGAGGCAAATAATTTTTAGTGCGTATGATGGTTAAGTTACTACAGAAGCACCCAGCACGTGGAATGAAAAGTCGGACGCCATGCCGAATAACACGTGGCACATCCCGATAACACATCAGAGAGCTGTACGTTAGCTGTAGGCATACACAACCATTATATGAGGTACTAGAAGGTTTTGGCAGAGGGCCTATGGTCTACTCCGGCTCTAACAAAAACTTGTTGATAAAATCTATTCCAGATAACGAAGCCGCGTGCATCGTTGTCGTATGAGTGAGTGTTTACTCACTTTATCACTGAGGAAAGGTCTGCAAACACAATTATAATCTCAATGTTCCTGATTGAGATGGCAAATACTCAGTTTAACACGTAGGCTTTAGCGACCAGTATTATTCATAATAAAGGTTTGTTTGGGTTTAGAACACCAAAGGAACATTAAATTCTCCCAAACACAGCTGTCAGCAGTGGCAGAGCATGCTTGCCAACAAGGATATTCAATTGATTTTGATAACGTTGAAGTGTTATGCAGAACTAATTATTACTGGCCAAGATTAGTTAGAGAATCAATTGAAATTGAGAAGGATTCAAATAATTCCAACCACCGTGATAGCTATAGACTCCACGTAGCCTGGAAGCGTATTATTAAGTAATACACAACACATTGCAATTCCTTACAGGTAAGTCACATGCTAATTCGCAGATTACTGATCTATTACATGAATGCAAACACCCCCACCTCCGCCTCTGATCTCGAATCCTGATGGGGTTCAACAATGATGACGCCATCCTGCACTATTTAAGACCGTAAACAGGTGGATGGCTTCATTATTCTGGCAAATCTCCCGAAGATGCTGGATATAATTTCCAGCGAAACGGCGTGCTCAAATGGTAAATGTTGTGGATTCGCTATATATAGTATTCTATAAATCAGGCACAATGGCTCATGCATGACAATACTATATCCACAAAGCTGTCTTCAACAACAAAAATAACCGGAATTTCAGAATGCTTTGTATGTCAAGATGACATTGCCATGCTTGTACACATTCTCATGATGGCCATGGGCTCAAAAGAGCCGAGATTGTGGAATGTTTTATCTAGACAACAGACAACGTCTTAATATTAGGTTTTTGAGTTAGATCGCGTAAATATGTGTCAAAACCAGCCACCACTCGAGCCAGTCAATTAGTAAGATTTGTCACGTAAACAAAACATGCCAATTTGTTGCTAGTTCAGCAACACCGGTGTGGTGGCAGGTTTAACCCAAACACCTCTTATGGATAAAATTGGTCGCGAAAGCCTGCGTGTTAAACAGACAACAAGGCAGCTGTATATCTACGTAATCCTATTTTGGACTGACACAGTTTATATAAATCTGGCTGTTGAATTGCCTTCTCCCCAGCTAACGTTTCGAATATTGCTCATGTCTCAGCATTTATGAATATTCCAGTGATAATAAAAGGCAACGATGTTAGAAGCCCAATATATTCGCCATATGAAGCACCCTCCCCATCTGTGAGCACGCTGAAAACAAACCCAGCTGAGACCTGGAATCTCTGCCCATCGCACCGCTCAGCCAATCCTTAAGTATGCACTAGCACATCGTGGATAATGCTCAGCCTAGGGGCAAACAAGCCACACTGAGTCGTTAGACTCTTTTTCGGGAGGGTTCTGCATTTGGGTTTATATTTTAAGATATTTTCACCCAATTTTACGACGAGTGTTTATAATTACACAAGTGGTAGGAAACCGGAGCACCCGGAGAAAACCCACGTGCGCGAGGGGGCAACACTCTATCCCCATACAGATGGAAACAGATGGCGATTAATCCACTTGCTGTACCGTCTTCTCCTGACGAGGCAGGGTATAGGACCTCGATGCAAACGTAAAGGGAGTTCACAACATCTGTGTGAACCACCAACTCTCGCTACCTCCACAGTTCTGGATAACAGGCCACGCGCATAGCCACCACTGCCCGGCTTGGTGTCTGAGCGGAGTCTTAGTGGCTCATTCGATCCTTGAGTGAAAAGATAAATGACAGCTTTATGTAATGTAATCAATATCCATGGTGCAACACTTTACGTCCTTGGGATAGTGTGCGTGTTACAAAAGGTTTCAGTTTTGTTGCCAGAAAAAAGTAGAAAAACCTATTATCGTGTTACAAATTGTTTCATTATTGATAATACCTGTGCTGAAATAAAGTTTTCAAGGTCATTCGCACTGAATGACTGGAATTGGTCGGTCTTGTCACTATGAATATAGGAGGTGTTAGATTGGAAAACTGTGAGTTTTTTTTACTCGTTTAGAGTAATCGTAATGCTCGCCTGAAATGGAAAACTGTAATCCTTGCGTTGGAACCGTTTTAACATTCAGTATACAGTACATACAGGGTGGTTCATAAGTTAATTGCCCCAAGTGGGCAACATCCAAGCCTTGGATGGCGAAATATCATATGCCCCATCCCAAATAGGACGGCCTTTTAGTGTAATGTCGACCACTGGCTATTATCGTAATCACGTGGTGTAATGCGGTAGCTTCTCTGTAAAGAAGAGTTTATATTTTATGGCACATAATGAGTTTTTACAAGTTTTCAAATGAACAAAAACACAAGTTGCCTTTTTAAAAATCGAATTTACCTTTATTAACGTAATAGCTTGCACATGTTGACGAGGGCAGTAGGAAATATTGCTTATATGTAGTTGTACCGCTGTAGCATGCTAAATTAAGATTCTACGTGGAATTAATTAGGGGGGGGGGAAACACGCGTTTTAAGATACTTTAATTCCATATCGATTTGAAAATTCAATTATTTTCTTTGCAAGCTGCGCATAGTTAACGGTATCTTTAGAATGCAAGATAACCAGACCCACAATGAATGCATAATTTCTGCTTTAATTGAAAAAAACCCTCCTATGTTCCTTGAGTAATGAAAGATGAAATTGCCGGACTCTGTTAGTGGAATGTCCTCATAATGGCCCGATAAATAAATGCGATTTGGACAACAAACGCGGTCCCAATTTATTTCCGGGGGGGGGGGGGGGGGTACCGCTTGATTATTCCATAGCATGCGTGCGCATTATTATCTTCAGTGATAGGAATATGGTAATCACATCCCCCTAATTAAAAGCAGGTGTTTGTATAATACATACATGGATGGAGCAGTCAGGGTACATTCAGGTGATTGTGTTCAGCGTTCTTATGAATGTGCTTTATATTAAAGGACATTCTAAATTTAAATGAAAATATTAAACGAGGAAGGGGGGAAGGAAATCGTTTTAAAGTTCAAAAGTAAATTTCCTAAGTTTATTATATAAGTCATCCAGGATGAAGAGCATTTGTCGAACATCCTCAACAGTGACTGGCTTTGCAATTTGAAAGCATCGACTACTTTATTGGTGAAAGCCTATTAAAAGAAGATATTAGCACAGCATGCTGCTGCTGCTGCTTATGATAAGTGAAAACAGACCGGATATAACAGGGATACGACAAATACAATTCTGCCAATTTTTTTCCCATTAAAGTCAGAATGCAGCAGACATGAAAGGCATTACGTTTATCCACCCAGCCAGCACCTTGATGTGTGCCGCCAAGACACCGAGACGTAATGCTCAACTGAAGAAAATCTTTTTTGGCATCAGACATTTTCATTTCTTCCAGCTGAATATAATTATCTTCAATGAATATCGCTACAAGCTGAAAACGGGAATCCAAAATGTTTTGGCGTATCACTCTGAACTGTTATATCATCCCTCAAATGTGCATGCTACCAGGTATACGTGAGTGTACATGTGGAGTGTGTGCATATGCATTGTTCACATTCCATCCAAAAAAAGTTTTAAGTCATACTTGAAACATTGCATTAAGCATTGCCAACAACTCTGGGTTCCACAGTTATGCATGTTGAACATACAACCTTTGTTGTCACTTTCTGAATTTAGAAGCCAAAATCGTAACTAAAGCTTAACACAAATTAGCATTGGGGGCTTTACTGACTTGCAAATCGACTGCACTTGGCAAAGCGAGTTGAAAGTTTTCAACAAAACCAATAACAACGTAAAGCCTATTTGAAAGTAGTAGTTGTAAAAAAAAAGTTAAGCGTGTGTCGACAAAGTAACTGGCAAGCAGTAGGGGTCATGTGGAGGAGGCACGGGGGGGGGGGGGGACCAGAGAGGAAGAGCGAGAGAGCGGAGAAAGCGCATGACGGATGCATTCACAGCTGCACGCCTTTTCGCAAGACGCTCTTGCTACCCGCGCGGCTGCGTCGGGTCGCCGGGGGGGGGGGGGGGAGAATCGGCCCGGGAAAAGTCGCGGCGTTGCGGGAGAGGAGAAGAGAGATGGGAGCGAAGACAGAAGAAAAAAATGACATTGTCAAAAAGTTTACCGCTTAATTTTTCATCGATCCCACGGGAGACGGCGTGCGGTCAGGACAGCGGCGGAGATCACGGATTGCGGGAGGTTGGGAGGAGATGCGCGCGGCGCGGTGGCCGGGCCAGGGAGAGACGCGGGGAGCTAGCTGTGCCCTGGGCCTCGGCCACTGCCGACACCGTGGCTGCAGCTGCTCCTCCTCCTGATGCTGTTCCTGCTGTTGTTCCTGATGCTGCTTGCTGTGCGCGCACGGCCGAATACCTCTAAGGCACCCCCGCCCGCACTGCTGGCACGGGGGGGGGGGGGTCGAGTTGGCGGGCGACCTGGGGGTGGTGGTGGTGGTGGTGTTGTTGGAGCAGTCGTTATCCAGCTCGCACCGTATTCCCCTCCCAACAACAACACCACCACCACCTCCTCCTCCTGCTTCTTCTTCCCCCTTGTTTGTTTTCACGCGATCCGACAGGTTGCCTGCAGGAGCGGGACGAACGGGCGATGATGTGCTGGGGATGCCCTGTGCCTGGCAGTTGAAGGCAGGGGGTGAGAGAGCAGGGGGTGTCGCGTGGTGTGTGTGCGTGTTTGAGAGAGAGAGAGAGAGGTTTGGGGCTCGCTCACAGCACTTGCTCCAAGTCTGTTTAGGCTATAACGGGGGGGATCTATGTCTTTGTTTTTGAGATCTGGGGGGGGGGGGGGGGGGTTCAGTGCCGAGAACTGTGGGGATTTAGGAAGTTGTGGTGGTGGTGGTGGTGGGGTTGGGTAGGGCACAAGAATGGTGATGGGATTTTGGTGCGTGCCTTGCTGCCCTGGCAACGCCATGACCACAGGCAGCTGTGAGGTCCCTGTATTCATTGTCCGTGGTAGAGGTCGGTCTCTCCACGGGCACAGCTAGTGTGCCTGCCCCTATAACCGTGACAAGCAGATGAACAACCGTGCTGGACTGTCAGAAAAAATATATATATATACATTACGGTTATACAGTTATCCGGAAAATATTCCAATTTACAGATGCTCCATATCTTGAAACAATATATATGTAGAACATCCTGTATATTTATACTTACGCGATCTGACCCCAAAAACCTTTATGAATAATATTGGTCGCGAAAGGCTACGTGTTAAACTGATGTTATAGAGCCGACTGCAAGATACACTTTTGTCGAATTGGCAAGTTACAATACAACTTTACTTGTTTAAAACTACAGCATTGGGGTTTGTTTCATCCATATGAAGGCCAGCTCATGTCAGTTTTCACTAAAGTGCACCGTTGTTTTCAAACATTTTATTGCTCTGCTTCTTAGCCTTGTTCTTAATGCTGCCATCGTCACCTTTCCACAGTTCAACAGAGTGCTGCTGATGCAAGGCAACAAGCATGCCTTTGTCACTGCATGTACTGAACCTGGCAAAGCACTCCTCTGTGTTGTTTCATTACAGGTCTTGGTTCCAATCCGTGATGTGCTTTGTATTATTGTTTACTCTTCCAAAGCTTCAAAGTGGTGTGTGCCAAGAACGGTATGAGTATTTATTCTATCCACTAAGATGCCACTCACACTGCAAATGGAATTGTGGATGTTGACATTTCTTATTGTAAAAAAAAAAAGCTGGAACCTTGTCAAATAACCACGGGTGCACCTCCCCTCACTGCTTGCGTCTCTGATTTTCCACGAATATTACTACTGTGGAATTGAATAATGGCGTGTACCTCACATCTATTTCCGCAGGCCCCATTCGTGTCCACGTTGCTTTGCATTTCCATTGCTGTTGTTGAAGAAAAATAGTAAACCAATTGGGATTCATGGACTGTATATTCCTAAAAAAAAAATCTCATCTTGTCTCAAGACGAACAGCCCTGCCTTTTGGACATTTGGAATATGTTTTGAGTGGCGATGTGCATGTGTACGTAGTAAACTGGTGTGCGTGCAAAGAAACAGATGCATCCATGGGCATAATATTCAAAAGTGCACACAGATGGGTTCGCAAACCCATTTGCTGTGCTGGACTACCATGTCCAGGTCACCTAACAGCCCAGTGGAATGTCACCATCTGCACGATCCACAAAACCCGTGCCCCCAAAGTGGTGGATTACAGGTGATCGAAAGTCTTCATTAATGTACCATTTATAATGGACCTGAAATGTAAGTCTTGTACTCTAGCCCATGCCATGTAATTCACCAGCAGTCTCAACTCGAAATGCCTGTAGATTATGAGATATACCTGTAGACAAAGATAAAGATCCCCCATATATCTGACATGGGCTACTGGAGCAAATGCTATGAGCGAACACCCTTGAAGGCTGGCATGGTGCACCAGGTACTGTACTAATTTAAGGCTGAGTTTACCTAGGGGAGGCCCAGATATTCGTCACTCATGTTTGCCGTCAGCGGGAATTGAATTCAGATTGCCGGGTTCATAATGCTAACCGCTATGCCATCGCTCCCTGTATAAGCACACACAAAGACCACACAGGCACGTACAAATGCAGCCGAAGCAAATAACGAAATCTTCAAACCTATAGGCTGCCCAAGACATTACATATTCATACGTGGAACAATCTTAGTGTTCTCTCAGCCTCATCGAGTGCCAGCATGCAAATTAACGCTGTTTGTCTCAAGCAAACAGGTGCCACAAAATGTGCTGCACCTGATGGGCAAATGGACCACCTGTGACGATGGCCATCGCAGGGTTTTTGCCAGTTCCGCCCGCCCGCCAGCTCTCACGTCGATCACCGTGCTATTTCACACGTTGGACCGGACTGGATGCGGGCCGGGCAGATGGCAGGGGGATGCTGGCGGTGGAGAGGCTGTCATTAATCAGGGCGACCCTGTTCCCTGCTCATCCTTAGCTCCTCCTGCCCTGGGGTTTGGACAGAGACGGCTCGTTAGCATATCACTCGGCCGAAAACAACTCAATTCCGTTGGGCTCAAGAGGTAGCGCAAGTGCCCTGCGTGAAGGCGGAACGCCGTGCACAGTCAATGTGGGCACGCGCGCGTGATGATGGCTCTGGCGTGTGGTCGCAACGATGGCTGAGTAATGAAATAATAGCTGACGGGAGGTGGTAAAAAAAAAACCACTACGCTAACACCTTATATTTACCAAACGGATGACATTGTAGAAAGCAAGTTTTTGTTCGCAAAAAAAATTAACTCGTGTAATTTGGATTGATATTATTTGTGTTATTTTTTTTTTATATAGGTTAAAAATGACCTCGAATGCAATGGTTTTGTGGTGCCCGCATTGGGCACTGCTCAGCTTGACAACACTTTCAAGGCTCATGCTGCAAGTGGTGATGATCAGAGGTAGTAACACCTTCACAGCAGCCTGGAATTAAATGTAATTCGGTGTGGTGTGTGTGTGTTATGCTCTGCCTTTGCCTCCGCTTGAAAGAAGAAGCCAGATTGTTTTGTTTATTAATGCTGTCTTGCGTGTTGTTCTCATTTTGACGTGTTGTTACATGCACATTATACGCATGCCATATATAATTGCTGTATACCCACAAGCCCTCTTGCATTTCTGCACGCTATCATGCTATCATCACCCCTTTTCTGTCCATACATATTTGTCACGATTTGTTTTAATTCATACATTATATCTGCTTCATGCAGAGAAACTGCATCACTCTTTTACAGTTATTTCCCCCCAAAAAGCTTGTAGTTGTTTTCAATACTATTACTAACATTTCAAAAAAATATTCGTAAGTTATAACTGCTTTTACTTAGTAATTGTAAACATAGCAATGTTTCGTTCCGAAGAAGTATGTTTTTTATTTATAAGTTGGTAGAGAATTGTTCATGAGCCTTGTCCCCTTAGGCAGAGGGAAATGTAACACAAAGGTTTACTTATGTATATTAATGAGTGACAGGCTTTATACGTGGATTTATTTCCTTTATGGGCAGGTGAGAGCCCATTGGGATCATACAAAACATACATTTTCAGGGTGGTATAGCCATTGAGACCACTTTAATTAAACGGAGACACACTTTGTAACCATTACCACTGTTTGACAGACATTTAAGTTCGATCACTCTTATTCTGGGTTAATCCGGTAAAGTCACGTAGAAGGGAAATAATAAAATAATAATAAAACATAATAAAATCAAATTATTACGTTTCGGCCACAACGCACAGCTCTGTTTCTTCACCTGAGGACGGCTGCTTGCGTTGTGGCCGAAACATCGTGATAATTTATTTTTATAATGTTTTATTTTTATTATTTTATTATTTCCCTTCTACGTCACTTTACCGAAAGAACCAAGAATATGAATCCCTGCAGTCACGAAAGCTTTAAATCGAAATTTAGATCACTCTTCACTGCAGGAAAATAATATTACCTTAAAATGCACCCCATCTATAGTCACCTGTCGGACTCAAAGTGGGTTCGAGTCTTCTCCATGACTTGGATGGGTGACCACCAGGGGGTTTTCGAGGAGTCGTAGGCATGGGGCTCCCTGGTGCTCATAAGGTGCCAGTGCTGTCACCCCCTCGTACGCGTAGTGGGGGGGAGGGGGGTGTTCTCCGGGTGCTCTGGTTTACCGCCGTAAACGTGAAAGGAATTGTGAAAAATATCCGAATGCAGTGCCCTCCTGAAAAAGTGTTAAGTCTCATTGAGACTTTCCCAGGCGAATCCTTGACATTGTTGTTGTTGTCGCTGCTGTGTGTATTAGCTGTGTGTGTGTTTTCCGAATGAGCAAGCCTTCAGGACAATTAATGGTTTTCAATCTAGATTTGAAGTTTTCGTGAATACAGGGATCCATACGCTTTGGTTATTTCGGTAAAGTACGTGACGTTACCGAAAGAACCAAAGAGTTATGGTTTTTTTTAAAATCAAAGATTATTATTTACCTAAAAGGCAGCATCATAGTGTCAGCACGTGTAGTAATGTACCTACTTTATTATTATGTGTCAGGAAAATGTTATAGCAAGTGTGTCAGCTCTGTAAAGTTAACGTCCATTGCCTTTTATTTAATCAGGAAATCATCAATGAGTATCAAAGTGTGTTTTATTTGTTTTACGTTTGTCTACCAAGGATAGCCTCACTGCCAAGTTTGTTTGCACTAGGAGGGGGGTGGGAAGGTTGTTATGTACTGTATTTTCAAATGTAGTGATGTACTGTGTACCATCAACCGCATCAGAACATTAACAGGCTGATGCGCAGATCTCCTTCATGAATGCAAAATCAAAGACATTCCACAGTGCGACTGTGGCCATGCAACACAAAACAATTGACCATATAGTAGTCTGCGCAACTTCAACGGAGGAGGGGTGGCAAAAGTGCAGGAACCCTCTCCCGCAGACCTCTCGAGGCTAGCAGACTTCGACATTGCGTTTAGCTCCTGAGCGTATTGTCATCATACGCAAGCATAGAGTTTGCGGTGCAATGCTTCAAATTGGCTCACGTGGACTGTGACACTGGTGAATTTCAGGAAGGTCCTGTATTTCGGATATGAGTAGCATGTGGGAAGAAACTAAAACGATAGGGATGAGTGGATAAGACTTAAAGCACCGCTTAGATGGATTAAATGATCTATTCCTGTCCTTCCATCTCCTGGCCATCTCACGGTCCAAGCCTAAAACAATTGGTATTCCCATACCGTCTTCTTCCCAAGTACGAATGCAGGCGAAGCTTTGCTCTCCTTAGCGTCCA